TTGCATTGTTCTGGGATCTTTTTTCTATATGTTTCCTACCTGTAGCCTGCCACAGACGTCTGGAATCTTACCAATTAAGGGCTCTGAGTCAGAAGTCCTGATTTCCCTCTGGCTCTGCCACTTTTAAACTGGGTGACCAAGTTGTCCAACCACTCTATGTTTCACTGTATCTATAAAATGGGGATAATTATAACAGGGATTTTGCAACGATTAAAGGCTTAACACAAAATCACTCAATTAATGCTTGCCACTGTTACTCTTTGCTATACATTCCTTGTGCTTTTTTTCCCCATAGCATCCTTTTCTAATGTACAACCATCTGCTTCCTTCCCTACCCTCATCAAAATGATGGAAGAGGAGAGTTCACAATGGGAAATCTCTTGTCTTTTCACAATTCACCTCTTACCTCCTGAAAACCCAGAAAAGATTCTCAGTGTAATTTAGCATAATCTCTAAATCCAACTCACAGAATTCCAGCTTGCCATTGGACTATATGGAATCCTGATGTGGCGCTGTAGGATAAGCACTGTACCGCAAGGTTGGTTTGAATCTCAAGGGCAGTGGTTCAAACTCACTACCTGTTCCTCAGAAACCCTATACAGGGTCGCTATGAGTCAGAACTGACTTGACGGCACTTAACAACAACATTGGAATAAATGTTACACAAACATTTGCAGATACTGAACTATTTTTAACAGGATCTCTTTCTCTACCTGAAAGTGATTTTTTGTAGTTTAGCATAACTTTGGAGGGGGGGGGGATGTTATAGGACACACGGTCACCCTAAAGCCAATGACAAGCAGCCATCCTAACCTCAAGTCGGTTTAAACCGCAAGATTGGCGGTTCAAACTTACCAGCTGCTCCTAGGAAGCCTATACAGTGTTGCTATGAGTTAGAACTGATTCACTGGCACTTTAACAAGTTATTAAAGGAGTCCTGGTGTGGTGCTGTAGGATAAGCACTCTAACAAAAGTCGGTTGGAACTTCAAGGTCAGCTGTTTAAATCTAACAGCCACTCCTCAGAAACCCTATACAGGGTCGGGTCGCTATGAGTCAAAACCAACTCGACAGCACAAATCCACAACAACACTTATTAAAAATACCATGGACTGCCAGAACAACAAACAAATCTGTGTTGGAAAAAGTACAGTCAGAATACTCCTTAGAAGCCAGGATAGTGAGACTTTCTTTCATCCATACTTCAGACACGTTCTCAGGAGGGACCAGTCCTTGGAGAAGAAGGACATCGTGCATGGTAAAGTGGAGGGTCAGTGAAACACAGGAAGACCCCCCCAACTAGATGGATTGACACAGTGGCAGTAGCAATGGGCTCAAACGTAACAATTGTGAGGATGGACGGCGGAGGCCCCAGCAGTGTTTCATTTTGCTGTACATTGGGTTGCTATGCATAGGAATCGGCTTGACAGCGCTTAACAACAACAGCTATTAATGAAGGAACCTTGGTCATATGGCGAGTTACACGTCTGCTAACCTCAAGGTCAGTAGTTCAAATCCACTAGCTGCTCCGTGGGAGAAAGATGTGAGTTTTGCTCCTGTAAACACTTATAGTCTCAGAAAATCTACAGGGGGGGCCCCACTACATGTTGGAATCAACTTGAACCGTCAAGTTGATTAATAACAACAGTTATTAATGAGGGCAGTCTAATCATGACACAGTCTTCTTTGAGAGACTCTGCAGCCCTACAAGACTTGAAAGGAAAGACTTGGATTCAGAGGCATCTCAAGAGCAAGAGGAGCTTCTCTTTCATTTCTCTCTTCCCAGTACTGGAATCAGCACCGGGCCATTTATTCCCTACCATATAGTAGGCCCTCAATCAACACCACTTTCTAGCAAGGTACTTAACCTCTTCAAGCTTCAGTAGGAAATAAATACTGTTTCTGCTTGGAAGAGTTTGTGTAAGGAAGAAATGAACTAATGTTAGCAAGGACTCATTCAGTGCCTGACACAAGACAGGTGTTAGACCAATGTTGATTTTCTTCCCCTTTCACTTCTCATGCATTTCTTCCTCCTTCTTCCCCAATGATAAATTATTTAAGGCAAGAACTTTGCCCACATTTCTTTGACTCCCCAAAGCCTCTCACAGGACCGTCTGCATAGTGGTAGCTTCAATGTATTCATTCCATTAGTGAATCTTTGAACACCCATGAGGGACCAGAGCTTAGAACCCAGAGAGAGCAGGTGTATTCAGGAAGTCCAAGTAAAGTAATAAATCTGAGGCTTCAAGGAGGAAATGATGAGAAACAAGGCTGTGGTGGCTATCCTGGATTAGCTCTCAAAGGGTTTTGTAAGTCTTACAAGAATTCTGGAGTCCTGGTGTGGTGCTGTAGGATAAGCACTCGAATGCAAGGTCAATTTGAACTGCAAGGTCAGTGGTTCAAACTCACCAACTGCTCCTTGGGAACTCTATCCAGTGTTGCTATGGGTTGGAACTGACTCGATAGCACTTAACAATAACAAATAAGAATTTTGGACTTTATCTGGTAGAACACTTGCCTGCTAAGAGAAAGGTTGGCTGGAGTCATTCTGCAGGAGTAAGATGTGGCAGAACATGTACTGAAGCCAACACCCTAAGTGATACTTCAATATTCCTATACTCCGCTGTAAGAAGCTCTGGTAGCATAGAGGTTACGAGTTGGTCTGCTAACCTCAAGGTCAGCAGTTTGAAACTACCAGCTGTCCCACAGAAGAAAGATGAGGCTTTCTGTTCCCGTAAAGATTTACAGCCTCGGAAACCCAATGCAGGGTCTCTATGAATGGGAACCCACTCCACGGCACATCACCACCACCACCATACTCCAGTGTAGTGGTAGGTACTTTAAAACAATTCAGACCAGTTAGAAGGTTACTGAAGTAACCTTGGAGAGAGCTGGCCTGAACTAGGTGGTAGATTGAACGGCTTTCCCTTTCTTTTCTGATCAGTCTGCCTTCTCAGGCCTCTGTTTGACCTTAAGTCTATTCACAATGAAGACAACACAGTCCTGCCCAGAGCCAGAGGCTGATGAGAGAGATTTGATTGATATTTAGAAGGTGGAATTAAGCAGACTTTGAAACTGATTAGAAGGAGAATAGGGAGTCAAGGAGGTGGCCCAGCTTTCTGATTTGGGGTTGTTGTTGTTGTTGTTAAGTGCCATCGAGTCGGTTCCGACCCATAGCCACCCTGTACAGGGTTTCCGAGGGTGTAAATCTTTACGGGAGTAAAAAGCCTCATCTTTCTCCCGCGGAACGGCTGGTAGTTTCGAACTGCTGACCTTGCGGCTGGCAGCCCGATTCGTAACCACTACGCTACCAGAGCTCAACCCAGGTAAATGACATGCCATTCAGTGAAACAGGAACACGTGGCGGAGACGGACAAGTTGAAGAAGGTGATGTGAGGAGTGTCAGGTGGGATTTGCTGAATTTGAAGTCCCTCGGACACATCCAAGTGTTTGCAAGTCTGTTGGAAACTCAGATGTAAGAGCTGGACTTCATGAAGTTGAGATTTGAGAAACATTAATAATAAGAAATGATAATATAAATAGATGAAATCATCGCAGGAGAGGTAATGAGAGTGAGCAAAGGGTCTAGAACAAAATCCCAAGGAACACTTGTTATATGCCATCGAGTCAGTTCTGACCCATAGCAACCCTGTATAGGGTTTCCGAGGGTGTAAATCTTTACGGGAGTAGAAAGCCTCATCTTTCTCCCACGGAGCAGCTGGTAGTTTCGAACCGCTGACCTTAAGGTTCACACCCCGATTCGTAACCACTACGCTACCAGAGCTCCTTATGGACCTGGATATGAAAAAACAAATTGTAAAGGAGATGAAGACAGACCAAAGAGATAGAGGAAAACACCTCCTACAGGTCAAGAGAAGGAACAAGCTGGGACGCACCCAGGATGTGGTGACTTTGTGGAGTAGTTTAGGTGGAGTTTGGAGGACAGCACCAGATTGCAGTCAACTGAGGAATGAGTGGGAGGTGAGGGAGTGGAGACAGCTGGCATGAACATTTTTTCAAGATGTTTGGCCACCAATGACTCGAGTTAATGGTGGTAACTTGCAAGAGAAATAAAACTGAAGGAGAATCTTTTTTTTTTCTGTGCAAACTGGAGGAGTGGAAGAAAATACAGGGCCAAAGTCAAAGAGAGAATCAATACAACCATTTGAGCAAAGGTGATGGAATCGAGTGTACAGATATTGGGATTGTACTTAAGACAGGAGGGCCCTACTTGTGTTTTCAATCAGATGAAAGGAGAAAAGCATTGGATTGAATGATTGGAATATTCATATTGGGGAGACTTTTCTTCTGATGAATTTTAGTTCGGCTTGGAAGTTGGAAGCTAGGTCATCGGTAGGGATTTTATTCACTGAAGAAATAAACGTTTTTCCTCAACTGGTCAAGCATAGTGTTACTAACAGAACAAAAGTCACTACACTTGGGGAAAGAGCCTGGCGGGAAGCCGGTCGTGGCTGCAGCTCTAAAATTAAAAAGATGAGGCTGATTGAAAGAAAGTGTGATGTTGTTCCTCTGGGTCTGGAGAGGGCTGCATTTGGTTCACGTTTGTGGAGGCTAACAAGAGGGGTTTTCTCCCACAATTTCATGCTGGGGCTTGTATTCAGACTCCCCTTTTCACTTCTGATCAGTTTGCCTTCCCTGGCCTGTGTCTCACGTCGAAGGCCTCAAGCCTCCTCGTCCCCACCGATGACCAGCTGGAAGCCATTTTGATTCTGCTCCACCACAGAAGGACAATACAGCCCCGCCCAGAGCCAGGCGCGCCCCCGCGACGGGCCGGGTGCGCGTGTCCGCGCCTCTTCCCGCCGGGCTGGCGGGCGCCGGGCCCAGGCCGGGGTGGCGCGGGGCTGGGGGCAGGGGTGGTTATGTAAGCGTTGCGCGCTCCCGCGAAGCACCAGCCAATGGGAAACTCCGGCGGCTCGTGATCGCGCACGCAAGAAGGGGGGAGGGAGCGCACGACGTGCGCGCGCCCTCTCCCTCCTCCACCACTGCCGCCTCCTTCTTCTGCCGCTCTTGGTGCTGCTTGTGTGCTCGTTCGGTGCGGACCTGGTACCTCTTTTGTGAAGCGGCAGCTGAGGAGACTCCGGCGCTCGCCATGGCCGACGAGAAACCCAAGGTGAGCCCGGCGCCGGCCTCCTCGCCTCGCCGCTCAGCCGGAGTCAAGCTTGGGCCGGGGTCCTGCCCAAGCCCGCCGCGGGCTCCCCGCGCCTTCCCGGGCCCCCCATGGGGCGGCCGCGGCTCAGGCCCGGGCGCTCCGCGCCATTTTCTTCCCTCCCTCCCTTCCTCCCTCCCGCGCCGGAGGAGGCCCCGCCGCACTCCCCCGCCCCCCGGCGGCCTCAGAGTGCGCGCAGGGCGCGGGTTGGGCGAGCGGATCGCGGACGCCGCGGGCCCATGGGCCCGGGGCGGGGGCTTCTGGGGACCGGCCGGTGGGCGCGAGTGTGGAGGGGCGTTAGGGCGCGCGGCTTCCCCACCCTCCACGAGCCCTGCGCGGAGCCGCGACGGGTGGTGCCTCCGCCCCGGGCTTCCCCTCTCAGGGGGTGGGGGCCGCGGGTGTCTCGGGACCCCGACCTGGGCCCGCGGCGGCAGGGTGAGGGCTCGAGCCAAATCAATGGGCCGCTGAGGGGGCTGGAGGGCCGGATGCCCGTCGGACGGTTGGGGCTCGTGGGGCTTGTTTCCCACTTTGATGGGCTGAGGGGCCGGACGGGAGGAGCAGCGGGTTTTCCTTGGGTGGCAAATAACCCCTAACCCGCGGAAACCATGTGGTTTCGAGAAGTTGGAGGCAGATGTGGAAGCAGACTTTCTAACGTGGAGCTTAACTTTTTAAAGAGTTTCTTGAGACATCAGAGGTTTTTTAGAGTCCACATACCTTCCTGAGCAAGGGATTTTCTTCTATCGGTTGGTTTTATGCTCACTCGGTTCCGATCTGAAGTGATTTAGGGAGTACAGAATTCCTCGGTCCTTGAATTTGGTGGATTTCAGTGAGAGTCGAAATCTACAAGGAAGACTAGGTGTAAAACTGATCCATTGTCAACAAAGGGGAGCGAGAAGAGGTTATAACTAAAAATACACGAAAACCAGGCTGCTAATAGAGGTGAACATTAATTGTAATTTTGCTCCAGAGAGAATCGATTTATTCCTTAATTGGAATTTTGATGTAGAGTGAGATTAGTTATGAAACTGAGTTTGATAACTATAAATGAGTTTTAAATTGCAAGTTCTAGATTTTTAATTTTTTTCTTGGCACTCTTCAGCATTTGTACGTATAAGCATTTTGGAAAGGAAAAGGACACTAATTTTTAACTTTTTTGGGGGAAAGATGTTTTGTGAGTGATAAAAATATGACATTTTATAACATTTAACTTGGAGAGAACATTGCAGTAAATTGGGTGGGACTCATTTGAAACGCTCTTGTTGCCTGTAGGCTCCTTCGGTTTCTGTGACAGCTATTTTAGTTCTGTTGCTCCAGGATTTCTCATCTTGCAGATTGATTTCAGAGGCTGAAACAGCTGGATGCTGTTGTATTGTACAGAATGAGAAACCTGTTGATTTCTGAAGCAACTTTGGCAGCGGCTGCTGCTGCTTTCAAAAGTGTTTGTTTTTCACATCTTCCAAATTATACTTTTATTTTTCTTTCCACAGGAAGGAGTCAAGACTGAGAACAACGATCACATTAATCTGAAGGTGGCGGGGCAGGATGGTTCTGTGGTGCAGTTTAAGATTAAGAGGCACACACCACTTAGTAAACTAATGAAAGCCTATTGTGAACGACAGGTGAGGAACTGATCATGTGCGCTTCCACTTAATAAAACTATTAAGGGAAAAAAAAACACAAAAACACCGCCTTTCCCTGAGAATAGAAACTAGACTAGTGTAGTATTATCAATACTATCTTTGGTAGGATGTACCAGAACTTGGCATAGCAGTTTTATGATCTACTGGCTACATTGATTACTATGTATGATCTAGTCCTATGCAAATGCACCAAATTATATTCCTAACACTTGGTTTCTTCCCAAGGGCATGTAAGAAAAGAAAACTTGATAACATTTCTTGCCAAGTTCTTTTTTATTCACTTGAAATTCTTCTTGTGTCCAAACACAAATTGAGTGTTTTAACCAATTTACAGATAAAATTACGAGTTTAAGAACATTGAAATTTCATGAAGCATGTAAATTGTAATGTTTTTCTTTTTCACACTTAATATAGTAAATGTTGGTAAATCTAACCTCATTCTCACTGAACCAAGTAAAACCATTCCTTATATTTCAGGAATATTTGCATTTCATTCAGAAAGTAGTTAACTTGACTGTGAGAGGAGGAAGTAGAAAACAGCTTTGTTGATTTGAACTGAATAATACTAAGACAAGGGTGCTCCCTTTTGGTAATATTCCTTAGAACACGACAAAGGCAACTTTAATGATGAATTTTTGCTTTATGCTGAGTGTATAATGTATAAAAGTTGGGAAAATAATTTTATTTGGTCTAGTATAATTTACCTATAATGTGAGTTCTAAAAATCGACTCAGATTAGACTAAGGTTTAGACCTGTATAAATTGTGAAATTGTCTCTAAGTTGATAGTTGAGCATCCCTTGTGAGGCCTTAGGGCATTTGAAAGAAAACATTATTGAAGTTAAAGATTTTTCCTTTTTTTGAATGTTTGAAAACATTTATACCTGATTTATTTACAATCTAATGAATGCTATGCTTGTAATTCTTGTAATTCTTAATAACTTTCTTATAGTTCTTTACAAAGTTTGGATCTTTAATATATTATTTGAAGAATTTTAATGAAATCCTCCTAAGAGTGAGTAAATTTGTACTGTTGAGCTAAAGAATTTAATCACTGGTATCTATATTTGAACACTAGAAGTCTCCTTGTGCAAAGTAGAAACTCATACTTAGATTTAGTTTTGAATAAAATTCACAGCATATCTTAACTTTCTAAAAATTCTAAGTTTTAGCTTTTAAATGATTAGATTTTCCTGGCATTTTATTGAAAATTTCAAACCTAAAGGGAAGTTGAAAGATTTTTACAATGAAAGTCCATATGTTCACCACCTAGATTTAATTAACCATTAACATTTTACTTTAGCTATTTGGCACTGTGGGTTAATGTGCAGTGTCGGTTTGAACCTCAAGGTCGGCAGTTCAAGCTCATCAGCCGCTCCTCAGAAATCCTGTACAGGGTCACTGTGGGTCAGAACTGACTGGATGGCACTCAGCAACAACATTGATACCCCTTCTCCATTCTGCAAAGTCACTTTGAACCACGAGATCACTGGTTCAAGCTCAACAGCTGTTCCTTGGAAACCCTGTAAAGGGGTCACCATGGCTTGGAACCGACTCCATAGCATTTAATAACAGCAACAAACCCCATTATAGTTTTGACTTTCCATATTACTTGTAGAGATTTCTGTAGAAGCTTTTATTGATAATTATCAGGTGCCCACCCTGTATTTGGAGCATTGTACCAGGGAGAAAAAAAATGTGACATCCTCTGTGTGCCTAGAGATTGTCCTGTAAATAGAGAGTTGTCACATTAATCAGAAATTGTGTTTTGCTTCCATGTTAAAAATGAATTTTACTCACTGAATTAATTTCACTTTGAGTTTTCCAAGTTACTGTATTTAGGATTGGAATTATATTTGACTACTAACTTATGATCACTCTCAATTTGTACTACCAGAGGAAATAGAAGCACTGGTTGTACATAAAAAAATGTAATTGCATTCTGCTGACAGCTGCTCTGTAGGAGTCCTGAGCCTGCTGCCATGCTCTGGGATAAGTGGTTGGTTTGAATCACAAGGTCCACTGTTCAAACCCATCAGCCACTTCTCTGGAAACCCTATTCAGGGTCACTATGGGTATGAACCAACTCACTGGCACTTAACAACACAACAACATTGCTCTTTTGGTATGTAAATAGGATTTAAATATTAGATCCAGGAAGAATTTGGGAAAATATTTATTCTAATTATCCCCTTAAAATAAGAAAACTTTGAAGTTCTGTATAAAACAAGATCCCTTATTTGTTTTTTCAAAAGGTTTCTCTCTTAAGAGGAAGCTAGAGTTGAAGTGTCACATAATTTGGGCTGATTCCCTGTTTCAAGGTAGTTAGTGCAGGCTTGTGCTGTACTAACTGTAAGGTTGGCAGGACAAACCCACCAACCACTCCTGGGAAACCCTATACAGGGTCTCTAGGAGTTAAAGATGACACTTAACAACATCCAAAGACTAGAAGCTATTTAATTTACATAGTTTTTTTTTTTTTTGGCAGTTGGGAATGAACTCAACTGGCACCATCTCCCTGGAGAGGTCCCAGTGGATCTCCGCTAGGCTTCTCAATGAAACATAAAAGAGGACTCCAGATTTTTTATCTCCAGAAATTTACTTTGCCTCTGGTGTCCCCACTAATCGGTGACACCATTCTAATCCCATTGTTGTTGTTAGGTGCCATTGAGTCAGTACCAACTCATAGCGACCCTATGCACAGCAGAAGGAAACACTGCCGGATCCTGGGCTGAACTCATTGGTGAGGTCAAAAGGTTAGCATCATCATTGATAACTGTCATAACTCAACAGATCCAACTGCATATTCTCTTTACCTAACCCTGTGCTGTCCAAAATGGTAGCCACAAGCACAGGTTAAACTACCTATTTTTAACATGGCTACTAGGGATTTTAAATTTGGATATGTGACTCGTATTTTATTTCTGTTGAATAGTGCTGAGCTAAACAATTACATAGTCCATAACCAAACCATTTTACTCTGGTCTTGTTCAGTTACTAACTACCCTGAAGCCTCCTCTGACAAAGTATACCCTGTTCCCATCACTCTCCATCCTATTACTTTGTTTTTGTTGTTGGTTTTCTGCATTTCTCACTACCTGACTATTGGTCTGTCCACTCAAATGTAACTCAAGTGAACATAGAGACATTTTGTTCGCTGTTGAGTCAGCACCTAGACTATGGCATGTAGACTGTGCTCAGTAAATACTTGTAAAATGATACAGAATATTTAAACTGAATCTTCAGAGAATGCTTGACAAATGTGTTTTTCATTCGCATGTAAAATTAGTTTGTTTGCCTACTCTGCCAGCCACATAGCCTTCATTCAGAACCTACGGTTCCAGTCTAGTGTGGGGTCACCTGAACAGACTACTTCATGGGGTGTCAGGTGGTCTCAGCACAGGATCACTGAGTTAGTCCAACTTATTTTGTGAAATACAGAAACAAACCCAAAGAGACCTCACAGAGCTTTCCCAGGGCAGCAGAGCTCAGGGATGGGGTTTATACAAAAGAGCTGGAGTACTGTTTTAAGGTAATGCATGCTGGAATTTACATTGATTATGGAATCTAAATGTCCAGTTTTTTGAAATTTGTACTTTTGAACTCTAACCCACGAGTTGGGCTTTAGTTTCAAGAACTTTTATTGATTAATAAAAGCATAAAAAGCAGGAGTTGTATTTGCTGAGAAAACTGAGGTTTTTTCAGGAAATTTTAATTCTGTAATAAGAGATGGATCTAAAGGAGTACAAATTGGCTTTAGTTCTCTTGCTTCTGGCCCTGCCTTTAACTCTTAAGAAGGATCACACCATTGACTTGACCAGTGAGTATATCAAAGGTGCTTACAGCATGTTGATGAAACAAGGAGCTTTGAGTGGAGTGTTTTCAGTTATTCAATCCGTAAAGGTGACTGACCTGTCTGACTTCTTGACTGCTTTGTGTAGTTGCAAATTAAGGTTGATTGTCAGGAGCAGCAATTTTAAGGTTATGGGTGTTGTTTTTGCTTCCAGTCATAGCAACCTGTTCCGAGGAGTGACTGGTGGGTTTGAACCATGGTCCTTAAGGCTCAAACTGACCTTGCGGTCAAGCGCATTATCGTGCAGTGCCACACCAGGTTTTCCTCAGACAAGGACTAGTCTGAAGGTGGTTTCTGTCAGACCATTGACAGGTTTTTAAAGGAAAGTATTCATGTTGCAGGTAGTTTTATAAAGGTATATTGAGTGAATCCTTGTTAATAAGCGAATATAGGTGTTTTGCAACTTTCCATTTTCTTTTTAGTCCTAGGAACTCAGTTTAATTTTATCTTTAAATATCAGTTGAATATTGTTTGTGTAACAGTATAGTTTGTAATTTGAGCATGGTGTAGGAGTTTGCCTCATTTGGCTATAGTAACCAAACACCTTGGCTTCTTTACTCTCCCCCAAATAATCAATGTCTGATAAACAATATCTTTAGAGGCATTTATTGCTGAAGTGGGTGCACGTGCTCATTTCTCGCTTCCTTAAATGTATATGGAAATTTGTTGGGATTGAACTCAACTATGGGAGCTTGGTGGTGCCATAGGATAAAGTACCTTAAAAAAAACTTTTCATTTTTTTAAACTTATTTTAAATAAAGTTACCCAACTTTTAAGTTAAAAAAAAAAACAAAACAATGCAGTCAGTTTAGATGGATATGGCTTTTTGTCCATTTCTTTTGTCAGTGCTCACTGAGCACTTCCTTATGGAAAGGGTGCTGTGTAATGAAGACAATCCAGGTTTGCAATCTCTCCTGGAGTTGAGTTTCTAGGAGAGGTTGGCAAATAATGACAGATTTAGTAAATACTAAGAGAATCCCAAGAATCTCCTGGATTGACTTTTTTTTTGTTTTTAATTAGCCTGAGTTTTATTAATTTCTCAATAACCCACATTTGAAGCTTCACTGCTGACAGGAAGGAAGGTTGACAGTTAGAACCCACCAGCCTCTCCATAGGAGAAAAGACCTCTGACAATCCACTGCATTGACTTTTGAGCTATTCCCACTCGCTGTGGAAGTTTTGGATTTGTAGAGGCTTCAGGGGACAGCTCCTGTGGTGTGGCCTGGTGGGAGTGCTCTGCAGGAAGAACTTGATTGACTCTGGTGTGCCTAGCATGGTGCTTGGGGGGGCGGGTATGTGTGTGTGTGACCTACTCTGTTTTGGAGGAAGTACTTGTGTGGAAATGCGTCAGTGTCAGAAAGTTGTATTGTGATCTTGACACCTTAGGTGACCTGCAATTTTCATTATTATTAAGGTGACTTTGTTTCCTCTTTGAGTTTTGCAATGAGGAATGTTGATGTGTGTATCTCATTTAAATTTCTTCTCAGTGTCTTTGTAGCTCATTTAAAGACTGTATTGTTTCACAATATGAAAGAACAAACAAGATACTATGATTTAAAGGAAGTAAAAATCACCTTATATTTTTGTCTACATAGAAATATTAATGTATTAGTAATTTATTTAGGTAGCTAAACAATGTTTATGGACAAATACGCGTTGGTTTTTTTCTCTCTGGGGTTCTTAGCGTTTTATGTGCTTCTTACTCCTTTTTAAACTGTTTTGTTCAGGGTTTGTCAATGAGGCAGATCAGATTCCGATTTGACGGGCAGCCAATCAATGAAACAGATACACCTGCACAGGTAAAAAAAAATCTCTTCATGCAAAGTAGAAATTTTTTTTTTAACCAGCTTTTTTTTTTTTTTTTTTTTTTTTAAGGATTTGTGAACTAGATCTATGTGAGATTATGGCTAGTGGGGAACAGAAAGGAAATACAGCTATTAGTGTAAAGCAAATAGTCATTTAGTTACTTTAGTAAGTGCTCACCCCCCCCTCACCCCGCCCCCCCACACACACACACTGCATTACCAGCATTAAGGAGCCCTGGCAGTGTGGTGGGTTGTAGGTTAGGCTGCAAACTACAAGGGCAGTAGTTCGCATCTATCAGTCACTCCAAGGAGAAAGATGAGACTTGCTGCTTCTGTAAGGATTTCCAGTGTCGGAAACCCTACACAGGGTCGCTGTGAGTGGGAAGCAGCTCTATGGCACACAACCACCAGCAAACCGTAAAGAGCCCTGTAGTGTAATGGGTTACACGTTAGGCCTCTGATTGTCAATTCAGCAGTTCAAGCCCACCAGATGAGACTTTGTAAACTCACAATCCCTCTATGGGTCACCGTGAATCCGGATCCACTTACACAGCACACAGCCACCACCATTAGCAGCATGATTTGGAGTCCTCACTGTAGGACTAGCAGGAGACTTGTAACCACAGTTCAAACCCACCAGCCACTCCTTGGAAACCCTACACAGGGGTCCCTATGTGTGGGAACTGAACTGACTTCCATAGTAATTTATTGGTGTTCAAAACCAGGTGGGGCGAAGAAAGGAAATAGTCATTTAGTTACTGTTGTAACATTTTTTTACCCCCTTGTTTACCAGTATTAATGAGCTCTGCTAGCGAAGTGGTTACAAATCTGGGTGCTAACCTTAAGGTCAGCAGTTTGAAATTACCAGCTGTTCTGCAGGAGAAAGATGAGGCTTTCTCCTTATGCCGAATCTTTATGGGGGGAAAAAAAAGCCAACTGGTGGACTGAGCTGCAGGTTACAGGTCTCTTGATGGTTAATCAGTGGCTTTTAAGACTCTTTGACGACAGGTGCCTCTCATCCCTTAATCTCACTCCTCAGCACTTCAGTTCGGTGGCTGTGTGGGCCAAGCTGGGCTGTCTCCTGTGGCAGAAACTCCAGCTGTGTTGACATGTTTTTGCAAGCTTTCATTTAAGACTTCCGTCTTTGAGAGAAATTTTTTGTCAGAAATTTAAATTGGAACCCTTGGTTACGAATCAAGGCTGCTAACCTTAAGGTCGGCAGTTCAAAACTACCAGCTGTTCTGCAGGAGAAAGAGGAGGCTTTCTGCCCCCATGAAGATTTGCAGCCTTGGAAACCCTGTGCAGGGTCACTGTGAGTCGGACCCCTACTCCGCGGTACTTAACAACAACAACAAACTTGTATTTCCGTTTTTATCACGTGATTAAAACAAGGTGAACGCAACTGAAGCGGCACATTCCGATTTGTTAATAATCTTCCACAATTTGGATTCAGAATGCCTGGGAGTTGTGCTCAGAGGAAGACAAGAAATTGCCATTGGCTATTGCCAGCCTCTAGGAGCTCTGGTAGCGCCTCAAGGTCGGCAGTTCAGAACTACCAGCGATTCCGCAGGAGAAAGATGAGGCGTTCTGCTCCCGTAAAGATGTATACCCTCAGAAACACTGTCAGGTTCACTATGAGTCGGAACCAACTCCACGGTACTTAACAACATTGCCAGCCTCTAAGGAGCCTGGCTTCCTAGTGTGACGCTGTTAGGTTAATGTGCTGGATTGCAGAGTCTTTAGAACCTCAAGGTCGCCCTTTCAAGCTCACCAGTCACTCCTTAGAAACTCTATACAGAGTCGCTGTGAGTCTGAATCAACTCCACACACAGTACACCACCACCATTGCCAGCCACTAAGAAGCAATTATTATATATAACCACAAGGAGGAGCTGAATTCTCTTGATAAAAGAGAGGGGGGTGAACAATAATTACTCTTCCTTTGAAGGCAGATTAAAAAGTTACAGTATAAAATTTAACATTCTAATAGTTAATTTTAGTGGATGTAGTGACCTGTTTTGATAGTTTTAGGAGTAAAATGCTGACTTAAAGTAATTCCTGAGTGCTAACCTGTCAGCTGTTCCACGGGAGGAAGATGAGGCTTTCTGCTCCCGTGAAGATTTACAGCCTCGGAAACCCTGTACAGGGTCGCTCTGAGTTGGAACTGACTCCACGGCACACAACAAAAACAGCCTGTCAGTTCATTAGCATTTTTTTCTATGTTTACCTTCCTTGTCCCCACCCCAATTGCTTTCTGGGGTTTGTCTACTATTGTGAGTTGCAGAGATTAAACCCTGAGGATTTGTTCAGAATTGTGACCTTAATGTATTAGACAATCTTCAGAGTACCCTGTGCGGATTGGTGGAATTGTCTCATTTTAGAATTGTTCTATTTGTTCAGAAGCTGAACACACCTCAGCAGCCCATTTAGTAGTATAATTCTGCTAAATGCTTTCACTTGACCCACTTAATTCTCATAACAGTATTCCATTTTGCAAAACAATAGATGCTTAGAGTCTTGGTCATGAATATGTTAGTGCATCACTTGAATTTAGTATGTTTTAACTTAATTAGAAACAGACTTCCCTTTTACTTGTCTCTAGGTACCTGTAAGTTGCTGTTTGATCTTTAAAATTATCTGCTTCCATAAAGATGTTTTCACATTTAATTATCAGCATAGTAAAGTGTTAATTGTTGATTCAATTTAGTGTTGCCATATATATATATGCCTTCCTCCTATTAAAATTGTGCCGTGGAGTCGGTTCTGGCTCAGAGCAACCCTGTACAGGGTTTCCAAGGCTGTAAATCTTTACAGGAGCAGAAAGCCTCATCTTTCTCCCGCGGAACAGCTGGTAGTTTCAAACTGCTGACCTTGCAGTTTGCAGCCCAATTTGTAACAACTACGTTATCAAGATAGTTGTATATAATGAACCTTGGCAATGCAATTTTTGAACCACATATGAAAAATTACTTAAGAATAAAACATGTTCATGGAAGGCTGTTTCGACCCTTACTGTCAACAGGTAACCTTTTCTCTTCATACAGATAAGCAAGGACAGATTCATTTTAAACATACATGTAATCATACTACAAGCTGTTATACAACTTAACTTTCACATTTTGTTTTCTTAGAGACATTTCCATTTCTGCACATGGGAATCCCACCCTGTAACAGCTGCATAGCATTGCATGTATGTGGGTATAATGTGGTTTACTTGGAGCTTCATTTTATCCTTAGGTTATTCCTAGGCTTTTGCTGATCTAAGTAGCATTGAATTGGAAATGGGGCCTTTATTTATATACATCATCATTCAATTTATAGCAGCTAAGTAAAGTGAAATGATTTTAACTCATTGACATCACTTTTTAACTTGGCCTTGTATATCCTTCATTTCAAAGGAAGCAAAGTGAAAAGTGATTTAATCCTCGTCTGATTAAACTGGTATTTCTAAAATCATGAACACTGGGGTTGGATGGATGCGTTCATCCCTGTCCTTCCCTCCCCACTCCACCCCCATGGAAATTTAAATCTAGAAGTGATCGATTGTAAGATCTAAATGTGTTTCTTCTTTTTTGTGCTAGTTGGAAATGGAGGATGAAGATACAATTGATGTGTTCCAGCAGCAGACAGGAGGTGTCTTCTAAAAGGAGCCTGCTACTTTCCTCCAGAACTCTGTTCCTACCGACCAAGAATACATTCTCAATTAGAAAACCACAATTTGGTTCCACCACATCCTGACTACTACAGTATAGTTTTCTCTATTCTTTCATTTCCCTGTCCCCATTCCTTTATTGTACATAAAGTAACGGGTGCATGTGCACAAGCATATTGCATTTTTTGTTCTGTTTGTTTTGGGTTTTTTTTTCTTCTTCTTTTTTACTAAAATGGCCAATGATATATTTTGACCGACATGAAGTGGAGATGAGATGGGGAAAAATACTGGTTCTGTGAAAATCCCCCTTTTCTCCATTAGTGGCATGCTCATTCAGCTCTGATCTTTATATTCCAGTAAGTTATTTTGCTCTCACTGTTTAACAGAAAACAACAACATAAAAACTCCTTGCATACCTTGTTCAATTGGAGAATTTTAATGTTTTTCATTTATCATTGTAAAACCAAGGACAATTTTATAACTTTTTTGTACGTAGCTGTTACATGTAGGGCAATCTGTCTTTAAGTAGGGGTCAATTACTCTAAAAGAAATGAATCCGAGATAGTTTTCCCTTAAAGTCAAGCGTCTTGTTGTTTAAATAAACTTCTTGTTTAAAATGAGCAGTTTTTTTTTAATTCTGAAGAATGTTAAGTAGAAAGTTGAATTTGGGGGGAAATCTTGGGTGTTAAAACTATTTCAAGGAAGAGAAGTCAGGCTGCTTTGCATTTCTGACAGGCTGAAGCGAAACAAAGGATTGTACTGTTACGTCAGTGACAACAGCAGAAAGCTGAGGCACATCCAGTTCTTCTAAGTTTGAGGTTTTGCTTAGTACTCATCTGACAAATCAATTTAACCAATTTAACCATTGTATTCTAGCCCACACTTTCTGTAATAAGTAAATTCTCCCCATCATAAAATAAACATTTTTGTTCCTTATTTTGAAGGAGCTTCGGTGGCATAAGGTTAAGGTGGTAGTGGTGTGCCATGGGCTTGGTTCACACACAGTGACCCTGTATGGGGTTTCCAAGGTTGTAAATCTTCACAGGAGCAGAAAGCCTCATCTTTTTCCTGCAGAACAGAACCACTGGTAGTCTCAAACTAGCTGACGCTGAGGTTAGTAGTCCAACTTGTAACCACTATGCTACCAGAGCTCCTAATGGTTAAAGTACTCAGCTGCTAACCATAAGGTTGGCAGTTTGAACCCACCAGCTGCTGTACAGGGGAGAAATGTGACAGTATGCTCCCATAAACATTTCGAACCGTTGGAAACTCCATGAGGCAGTTCTACTCTGTTCCTCCCATAGCATCACTGAGGTTTTGTTTCTTTTTTGAGAACATATCTGCATGTCCATTCTTAACAGTTCCAATACCCAGGGTGCTGCAGTTTTGAAGTTAATGTGTGGGGCGAGATTGTTGTTGTTGTTGTTGTTAAATGCCGTTGAGTCGGGTCCGACCCATAGCGACCCTGTATAGGGTTTCCGAGGGTGTAAATCTTTACGGGAGTAGAAAGCCTCATCTTTCTCCCGCGGAGTGGCTGGTAGTTTCG